GTCATCGTCTTGTCTGGCGATCTCTCTTTCCCAAGCCCCGGCTATTTCCCCTTAACAGCTGGAATTGTGTCATTAACCTGTTCTAAGGGCTGCATTAATTTCAGTATATAAAAGTACGCGTATGTGTGTGTGTATATATATACACACACACATAAATGTACGGTAGTGTAGCGGTTAGCGCCGCACTACGAACCTGGCCACCCGGGTTCAATTCCCGCTCACGGCCAACTGAACCGGTCCTGGGCCTCACCTAGGTCGACTCGGTCTCAACTGAGTACCTGGTGCGATGTGTAAACATCGCCACGAGGGAGGCGAAGGCGACCGGGCATGGTGTTGGCCACCCGCTCCCTCGTGTGCCGTGCCGGCCTTTATAGTTTCTCGCCAACAGCACTTGCCTCTACAGTCTGTTAAGGCTACACGGGGGAGCTTTGCCTTTATCTTTGTCTTTGTGCTATGCAACGGTGCTCGCTTACAGGACTTGCCTGAAAAGTGCGTTAAGGCTGCACGGGGATCCTTTGTCTTTGTGTATATGCAACTTAACATTTGCACGAATAACCTAAAATGTTATAACCCCCGGATTTTTTAAACGGGTTCAACATTAATATCGATTAACTCACGAGGATCGTTCACATATAATACAGTATAAATACAGTATTATAATACAGTATTATATTACAATACAGTTATAATATAATACTATATACAGTATTATAATACAGTATTATATTACAGTATTATAATACAGTATTATAATACAGTATTATATTACAGTATTATATTACAGTATTATATTGCAGTATTATAATACAGTATTATATTACAGTATTATATTGCAGTATTATAATACAGTATTATATTGCAGTATTATAATACAGTATTATAATACAGTATTATATTACATTATTATAATACAGTATTATAATACAGTATTATATTGCAGTATTATAATACAGTATTATAATACAGTATTATAATACAGTATTATATTACAGTATTATAATACAGTATTATATTACAGTATTATAATACAGTATTATATTATGAACGTACTCATAATTAAATACTTGAGAGTAAGTCCGGACACAGTTCCCGTGACAATCGAAGTTCACTAAACTCAATTTATATCTCACAAGGGAAACAAAACAAAATAAATTCCCTCTAATTGTCTGTTTCCTAAGCAACTGAAAAAAACATTTGCTCAAATTTCAACAAAACGTCCATTAAATAACACTTTTACCTATTGCACAAACGAGTGGTGCTGTGTGTTACTGGCCACTTGACGTTTACAAGGGGCCTTGGGGGGAGGGGGTGCTGTGCTCAGCAACCGCGATCAGAAAAAACATTTCTCAGCGACTACCTTTAGGTTTCAGCCAGTGGGTGCAATCTCCTCAATCATTTGTATGTACGTTGAACTTCTTTCGCACAATACTTAGCCAAACCGTGCGAATCGGGGGTGCGACGGGCGGGGTACAACAAGCTCAACACCAAATCGGTTCTAAAGAAATGAGTCTCCATTGCAGATTTAAAAGTGCACATCCTCCAGTCATGGCTGCCTCATATAGAAAGGAAGAGCGTTCCAGACGGGTCGCAGAAGCGCATCTGAAAGCGCGCGGTGCAGTGAACGTCTTTGTTCGATGGCGAGCAGCAAAAAGGCGCTTGCTGCTGCGAGGATGAACGGAGTTCACGTGATGATGATGATTTATGCTGCTTAACGATCAGCAAGGTATTGTGGTTCATTTATGGCAAAAACAAAAACTTCGGACAATGTGACCTCTATAGTCCATTACCGGATATTTGCATTGTCCCTTGAATATCTTCTCCTGACACATCCCATGCGATCTACACGGCAATGGCTTGTAATTGTAAAACATTGCCTTACATCCCTCTGATGCAATGTGTCTATAAAATACATGCATTTAAAACAGGGGCGGTGGCGCAGTGGTTAGCGCACTGCGCTCTGAATCCAGCCGCCTAAAGTTTGTCTCTCGGCCACGGTTTAACAACAATCAGTGGCGAGTTGATAGCAAACAGCTGGATCTGCCCTGTCTGCTACCGCTTCACCAACCCGCACTGAGCATCTTGGTGAAGTATGGTAACAAATAAAACAATGTTTGACGCAGTGTTTGGGGGGGGGGGGGCTGCGTAATGCATTAGTGGCATTGAGAGAGTGCGAATTATTGTTATTTTGTAAAGCTACTGGTGGTGTCAGTTTTGATGCGAGCGTGATTTTACATGCGTCCGCGTGTGCGTTCGTGTGCGTGCACGGGGAGCGGTAGCGTAGCGCGCTGCGCTTCGAACCCCGGCCACCAACACTCGTGTGACCACTGTCTCACTCGATCCTGGGCCTCGCCTAGATCGACACAGCCTCAAATGAGCACCCGGTGCGGTGTGTAAACATCGTCATCGGGGAGACAAAGGCGGCCGGGGGTGGTGCTGGCCACATAGCCCCCCCCCCCCTCCCCGTGTGACGTGCCGGCTTGCATTGGTGGCTCACTCACAGCACTTGCCCCAACAGTCTGTTGAGGCTATACGGGGTAGGGGGGGGGGGATCTTGGTCTTGTGTGTGCGCGTGTCTGTTCGCTATCGCGACAGCGCAGAAAGCCGCTCCTGCGCTGCTACTTTAACGCTCAGAGAACATCGTAGCGCGCACTAATTGTCACACAATTAACATGCAAATTTTAACGGACAAGCTAATTACGGCGCCAGTGATTGCATTGTTATGCGTAATGATCTTTAAATTGATAACCGATGCCGGTTTGACGCTGCAACTAATGCGAGTATATTGAGCGTGTACACTGTGCGTGTACACTGTGTGTGCACTGTGCGTGTACACTGCGTGCGAGTGAGTGTGTAATTGGGGAGCGGTAGTGTAGTTCTTATCGCGCTCCGCTACTAATCCGGCGACACGAGTTCGATTCCCGCTCACGGCAAGTCATCGATTATTAATATTTGAACCTACACTGCGCGTCGCTTAGGCCGACCTGGGCCGAGTCCCTGATGCGGCGTGTTTTAAAGGTCGCCAATGTGGAGACAAAGGCGGTCCGGCGTGGTGCTGGCCACCCAACCCCCTCTTGTGCCGTGTTGGCCTTCATAGGTGCTCGCAAATAGCATTTGCCTCGACTGTCTGTTAAGGCTGTACGGGGGGGGGGGGGGATCTTTGTGTGCGTGTTTTGTTCGTAAAATAACAAACATATACAGTATTCATAACATCTTACACCCATGGAGCGTACGTATCGGTATGCAAATGAAAGTCAGGCGCATTAAACTAAAATAACCTCTACGTGAAACTAACTTTGTAATCGGTGCATTAATTGTCTGTACGATGTGATGGAATAAAGTTACACGCGCCGAGAAATCTAATGTACCCAGATGGGTGACGACTAATTTCCATTTGCCGTATTGAACCAACACGTGCTCTTTCAGGTAGGTTTGCCGAAGCGGTATCTTCTGATCATGCATTCGTCTAATAATAATAATAATATATAAATATATTAAGTAAAACGTTTAATAGTAATTGAACAATTAATAATGTTGGCTGAATGTCATGAATATACGAATTTTATGTTTACGCTCGTATTTAACTGAACATGAATCGCGCGCGTGTGTGTGTGATCGTATGTATATAATTGCATCGGTGCTTGTGTGCGTGAGCTTGTGTATATTTGAGTGCGCGCGCGCGTGAGTGTATGCAATTTCATCATTGAATGTGTACATAACTGCGTGTGTGTAGTGAAATGTGAAAAACGTGTGTGTGAGTGTGTGAGTCCGTTAGTGCGTGGTGCTGGCCACCCACCCTCTCGTGTGCAGTTGGGGCCTTCAAAGATGCTCGCTAACAGCACTTGCCCCCACAGCCTGCTAAGTCTATACGGGGGATCTTTGTCTTTGTGTGTTCGCGCGAGCCCATGAGGCGCGCTTATGGGGAACGATGGCGCAGTCGTTAGCGCAAAGCGCTACGAATCCGAGTTCGATTCCCGCTCACGACCAACATCGCAGACGAATATCTCAACCGGCGCCGGACTTTCCCCTCGATAGACTCGGCCGATGTGATGTGTCAAACATCGCCACTGGGGAGACAAAGGCGGCCAGGCGTGGCGCTGTCGACCCACACCCCCTGGTGTGCCGCGATAGCTCTCGGAGATGCTCGCTAACAGCCAACAGCACTTGCCCCAACAGTCTGTGAAAGACTGCGCGGAGAATATTGTTGGCCTTTGTGTGGCTCGGAGCGCTACTGCGTATCCGTGTTAATTCGCTCACGTTCACTCGTTCGTTCACAAGTACAAGTTCATACTTGCACGTGCATCACACGAGGGTGCAAATCATTACATTGATTACACACACAGGATCATCTAATCCCCAAGACATCTATTACCGTCTGTTTAACAATTTTAAAACATATTAGCACGAATTAACAATACTAATACGCGGATCAGACATGTACAAGACAGCATACTAAATTAACGACGATCTGTACGAAATAGTAACGTTAACAGCAATCATCAGCAGCATCATCATCATCAGCAGCTCCTGCGTTCACGCGCGCAATAAATAACTGGAGCCCTCTCTCCGCGCTCTCTCTCTCGCCTCTCTCTCGCCTCTCTACCCCCAACATCGCACGCTCGCATAATAGAGAAGGAGCAAGGGCGCGCATGCGCCTTCACTACAACCATTGAACCATTAAGACGTGACGGAGCCCACACGCCTCCCCAACAACCACCCAGCCCGCTCGCCCGCCCGCCGACTCCTACCGAGAGACAGTAGACAGAAGGAGGAGGAGGGAGGGACGGTGGTGTGGGGGGTGCGTGGGTGAGTGTGTGGGTGAAGTGAGTGGCGGTAGCCGTGAAAGAGAAAGTGAAGTGCACAGGGAGGAGCAGGAGGAGGGAGCGTTGGGGAGTGAGAGCGAGAGAGGGGCAGAGAGTAGGGGTGGGTGGGGGTAGGGGAGATGGGGGTGGGTGTTAGGGGGTAGGTGGTTGGCTGGGCTGGCTGGTTCGTGGGGGGGGGGGTGCTGCTTGGTGGAGTTGTTTGGGACGAGTTCGAGAGCTTTCAGAGATTGTTTTTACTCTTCCTCGCCGATCATCTGCCGCGGTGCCGCCGGCACAGCCATGCGTTCCAAAGGGCCGGCTCGAAAACTCGCCACCAAACGTGAGTCCGTCTACACCACAGTACTCACCAGGCTGTGTGCGAGCTCGACTGTGCTTGTATGGAGACGGACTGTCGCCGTGCGTCTGCGTGATCACATTTGTGTGCCCTCATTCACCCGCTGCAGCCCCTTACGCAGCAAACGCCGCGTCCACACTCAGCAACTCGCTCGATCGCCGTCTGTGAGGTTTTTATTGTGAGCATTGATTTTACTTTCTGCCGCCCCCCCCCCCCCCTAATTGAGCCGATGTTGGTGTAAATCACACACCGCGATATTTGCCTGTAAGTCACACACCGCGATATTTGCCTGTAAGTCACACGCGCGCGCACACACAGCGGGAGATTGGTCAAACGTTGCTCAATTATTACATACATACGTACATACATACAGACTTACAGACGCACACAAACGCATGCAACATCCCCCCCCCACCCCGATCTACCTTATCGTTGCCAAATAATATTTAAACCAGTCGTGTCAACATTTAATCTCCGGCTCTGTATGGCCGCCGTAGCGAGGCGTGATGCATGCATGTATACACTAAGACAAAGATACCCCGTGTAGCCTTAACAGACTGGTGGGGCAAGTGCTGTTAGCGAGTAGCATCCATTGAAGGCCGTTTCGGCACACATACGCGCGCACACACGAAGCTACAAAAAAACTCGTTACAACAACCACCATCATCATCACCAGCCGCTATCGCTCACCATCTTCTCGTTGTCCGCTGTAAATGCCAGGCTAGTGTAGAACGAGCTTCTGAAATGCTCTGTTAAGATATAAGGGGGTGGAGGGGAGGGGGTGTAATAAGAGTTCGCGTGTGCGAGACTGACGGACTTTGTGGACTTCTGGGCGCGCTGTCCCCTCGTGGCTGCAGGCAGACTCCCCGTACGTAGTGGGCGCTCTAACGCTGCAGGAGAACGCCAACGCGGCTATGCGCGCACCGTTCGCGCGACCTTCGATTGTAACGCGGCCTGTGTCTGTACCCTGTTCTTTTAAAAAAAAAACTGTGCGCGTACGTGTTATTATTTTTATGGCCGTTCTTTATACACGTCGTACATTGTTCACAACTTGCAGGCTCAGCTTCGCGAACGAACCACTGACACTTGACTGTGGGTGTTTCGAAGCCAGAGAGGCGAGTGGATTTTGTGGTTCATGAACTGATTTCTCGCGAGATGTGTGTCCCGTGCGCTGAATAGCTCTTACCGCATTGGTTTGGAACTTTAATCGGGATCGTTATCATCAGCCACGTTCAATCCACTGCTGGATGAAGACTTTCCACACACCGCTTCCCAACTCCCGAGATGTAACAACAACAACAAACAACAACATCGCCACCCAGCAGCTTGCACACGAGCCGACTTCGTCGCTCCATCTATCTCCTCTCGGCTGGCGTCCACTCTCTCGGACGCGTTCCACACTTTGGCTGCCACTGCGTTCTCAGGCCACATCATCTTCCATCGTTGCGATGACGTGGCCCGTCCCAACCCCGCTTTTTTCAAAAGTTAAAAATGCGTCATTAAACCAGCTTGAATCTTATGGTAACATGCGTGAAAAAGAGCTTCATAGCTCATCGGATTGGTCCAGGAATGTTCATCTTTCTGTCCCGCCCGATATTACTCCAAGCGTACAATTGATATTATGATTATTGTTGTGAAGTATTATTTTTGAATAGGCTATTTTATTTCGGCTTCGGTTAATTGTTTTTCGTGTAAAATAGCGGCACGTAAAGTCTCAAGACACATTTCCAGGATGTGGTCCTATTTCGGATTGATTACCTTGGCAAAATTCCTTCATCGCCTGTTCGTTCGGTGCTGTGCATGATACCGTACGGTTGACGATATGATTTCCCAATAATGCAGTGACGAATGTTAAATCTCGTAGCATGTCCAGTCGCTACATAACTGAGTACACAGACCAAAAATCATCTGTAGCCGCAAAGCATCATCATTTTATTATTAGAAATTAATGTCAACCTCCTATTTTAATTTACATAGACAATCATTGAGTGTGATTGGCTAGGCGGGCGCGTGTCTTTGATGCCGTTTGTAAGGAGGGTTATTGCAGGCTATGCAGTATATAATTGCGTACTTTGGAAAGTGTAGGAAATTGACGGTGTACTTTCTATCATAACGGAAATCCATTTGTAAAAATAAAACATCGAAGTGTCGCATATTTTAGTAACCGACGGGGGCATTCGCTTGCTTTCTATCGGCTTGAGCGTCATACTCTCAATAGAGGCGAATTACTTGGTTCACTGTTTGATCTGGGGGTCGTTTCTTTGAAATCTTCAACGGAGGAAGCAATGACGAACTTGGGAATGGCGTTGCCCTAATGAGTGAACTCGATCAATATTCAGAATTTTGTTTTTATTGTGTCCATACATTAAGTAATATTGTCAAAGATCACTTTTGTCTCAGCCACTCTAGAACATCAATATAATTCACATCAGTCACTTCCACACTGAAATACGTATATTAATATATATATTTATCTTAAACGCGATTTTAGAATGACACACACACACACGATCAAATATATATAGTACACTATATAATAATATGCCCTCCGTTGTCAATCCACTGCTTGATGAATGCGGAGTTGTGAAGAGGTTGCGAATTCGGTCCCTACCGTTGCCGATATCACTCGCGAACGGGATTCAAACTCTCACAGAGCACAGCTCCACGTGCGTGCACTATATATATAGTATACACACGTACGCATGCTGTTGTACGACCAGCACTGCCACTTGCTGCTATCTCCTACCACCTTTTACTCGTGTTTACACTGACCAGAGTAGTGTTAACAACGGTTGATGTGCAAGGGAGTCTCTAATTGCCGTGCGTATCCGTGATTTAATCTTCGCATTGCACACTCGCTTTACCACTGTGTATACATTCACTCGTGTTTTTTCGTGCGAGAGCTGTGTGAGTGTGGCACCGTGTGTGATGGTAGTGTGCTGGCTACTACCACGTGTTTGATCGGCTATCTTATGGCTAATTAAGAGCAGTCATTAGTGGTCTAGTTGTAAGTGATGTGTCTATCCGACTACTTTGTCCTAAGAGCAAGTGTGTGTTTAATTATTCATCCTAAGCAACCACGTACGTGTTGTGGTGTGTGTGTGTGTTTCATACACGGGAGCGGTAGCGTAGTGGTTAGCGCACTGCGCGACGAACCCGGCCACCCGAGTTCGCTTCCCACTCCACGAATATTTCAACCGCTCTTGGGCCTAGGTAGACTGAGCCGAAAATGAGTAGCTGGTCGTGGTGTGTACACATCGTGGTGTGTACACATCGTGGTGTGTACACACCACGACTGGGGAGACAATGGCGTTCGGGTGTGGTGTTGATGGCCAACCAGTAATCATATACGTCTCGCTTAACAGTACTTGCTCCGAAAGTCTCAAAGGCTATACGCAGGGGGAACTTTGCATTTTATACATGTACGTGAGCGTGTGAAATTCTGTATACACGGGGACATCAGTAAGTGCGTATAAAACATTGTCAAGGATTTTTGTCACGTAAATAACCGCTGAAGTAGAAAATAAATCAACCATTAATTATTATTTTCGGTCGCTAGGAGGGGAGGGATCGGTGCACAAAGACGCAGGGTGAGTTGATTGTTGCTTTGGACAAATGTCGGAGTTCTCCTGCCAATAACATCTGGTCATCGCGCATAATTTGTTTCAGAAGCCCGACTTTGCTGATGAAACCCAAACAAATTGAAACCCGTCCAGCAGTTTGCACGCTTAAACAAATGCCGCTGGAAAATGACATTAATAATAATACTGTTTTTATGGAGCCAACAGGCCGATGGACAAACACAGGCAGCATTTATGTGCGGAAACACACATTGAGTAAATCAGCATTCACTGAGCCGACATGCATTCTGCAGGGCATTTTAAGCGAGAACAAAACCCATCTTGAAGAAGTCAACTTCTATTTCTTTCGTGCAGTGACGCAAAGACGCTTCAACTCAAATTGTTACTTGGCTGCAGCCGCGGTGCGTTCGTGGGTTAGGACGCGTGCGTCTGCGTGCGTGTTGTCGGTGGTTGTGTGTGTGGCTATCGGATAGTGTCGTGGTTAGCGCGCGCTGCGCTGCGCTACGAAAACGGCCACCCGAGTTCGATTCCCGCTCACGGCCAACTACCAGTAGCGATTAATTTGAACCGGTCCTGGGCCTCCCCTAGGTCGAGTCGGTCTCAAATGAGCACCTGTGTGTGGTGTGTGGACATCGCCACTGGGGGAGACAAAGGCGGCCGGGAGTGGTGGTGGCCACCCACCCCCTCGTGTGCCGTGCTGGCCTTAATAGGTTATACTGGCTAGCAGCACTTGCCCCAACAGTCTGTTCAGGTTATGCGTTGTGTGTGTGTGTGTGGGGGGGGGGGGGTCTTTGTCTCTCTGTTTGTCGGTGTGAGCGATCGTGCGCGTGGCGGCCCCCCAGTTCGATTCCCTGCATCGGTGGCGAACGTCTGAGTCGCACCCGGGGCGAACGTCTGAGTCGCACCCGGGGCACCGCCCTATCTCCCGCCTGCGCGCGATGGCTCTTCCGAGATGAAATCCTTCGCACGAAGAGACCCCGCGTCGACACCAGCAGCGTGCAAACACAGCGGATCTCCGTCATTCAGCGCGAGTAGTTGTTGTAGGCAAGGTGATGGTGATCTTACTCGCAATGTCTTGCTCACATTTCTTTTGCATGGGGGGGGGGGGGCGGTGGGGTTGGGGAGACCGCTTGTGGGGATCGGCATGAATCGTCCCATGCATGCGAGCGGGTTCTCTTTATGGAGGCGGGCGGGGGGTTCGGGTGAGGTTTGCTTCGGATCTCTGCGTGGAAACTGTGAATTGCCTAAAACAAAACTCAAAACAAACAAAGCGTCCGCACTCTCACCATGGGGACGTGTGCGGCCTCAGGGTCAGGGGCTTACGTTCTGTCCCTTCCTTATCCGCGATTGCCATACTCTGTGTCTGCACCCAGCACACCACGTCCGGTGTGACACTATTGTCAC